AACCCCTGCTCTAGGTAATATGGTGGTATAAAATTCAGAAGCTCATTTGTCCCTTAATTCTGATGGAGTGCTCTTCCTGACCACTGGCACTAGGAGACGCTCCGAGGGAGCTGTTGATGATGGTGCTGCCATAAATTAAGAGACATCTTTGCAGCAGGATGCATTTTATTTGAGTGCTTTTCCCAAATCCTTATCAAGTTTTATAATAGCAGGCATACTATAGCTGAAAGAGAGGAGAAAATAAGACCACTACACCTCTATGAAAAGCTTTAGTGGAAAAATAAACATTTAAAGTAACTCCAGAGCCAGTTACCCATTAAAGAGTTAAACTTAAGTTCACCAATCTGATGATTTTCTCTAAGGCTCTTTAATTGCCCTTCCAGGTGTCAAACTTGATATAAACGGTCCTGCTGGATCAAGATGTGCTAGCTCTGTTTGCAAGAGGGCTTTGATGAGCCCACCACTGCTGATGGGCTGAGGTTTTATTCCACTTGAACTGCACGTCCTTAAATGTTGAGCAAGGTTGAGCTTGGGACCCTTCTAAACAGTGTGGTTGCTCATGGGAGCAGAGAGGGAGGCAGAGGATCTGGAGGGTGGGTCTTGGAGGGGGCTAACTCCAGAGGAGCTGATCCACAGGGTGCACACCTGTACACACTTTCCCCAGGACCAGGTGGGTGCAGGGTTCAGGTGCGGTCTCTGGGCTGCAGTGAAGAATCGGTTCTGGCGGTCTTTCTCCTTGGCTTCACGCCGGGTGAACTCTCCAGGTCCTCCGCCCCCTAGTGGACGTGCTGTGAGTAGCAGCCACTTGAAAGCCCTGGATACCGCCGCCTTCCCCGCGGGACCCGGGGCAAAATGTAAGATATAGCCGCCGATTGTTGTGGGGGTTCTGAGGGGCAGAGCCGGTCCTTTGTCCTGAATGCTGAATGCTATTTGTTCTTCACGATCGTCCTGTGCCTGAGTGAGAGGTTAATGAAAAGTCACTTTGCTTAGCTTGTCTGTGCCTATTCGAATAATTGCTTACAGTTATATAGCGCGATTCTGGACACTCCACTCAAAGCGCTTTACAGGTAATGGGGTCTCCCCTCCACACCACCAGTGTGTACCCCCACCTGGATGATGCGCAAGTCCGCTCCCCACACACCAGCTCTCAGTGGGGAGGAGAGCAGAGTGATGAAGCCAGTTCAGAGATGGGGATTATAAGGAGGCCATGATTGGTAAAGGCCACAGGGAAATTTGACCAGGACACCGGGGTAACACCCCTACTCTTTTTGAGAAACGCCCTGGGATTCTTAATGACCACAGAGAGTCAGGACCTCGGTTTTATGTCTCATCCGAAGGACAGTTATCCTGAGAGGTTGTCCTTATTATCCTGAGAGCCCTGAAGTATTTCAGTTGGAAACGAGAGAAGCAGCTCTTCAACCCCAGGGGGTGTCCAGCCAGCACCGGTACAGACACCGGCGGCTGTTTACTCCCCTGCGGGCAGCAGGAGCCCCAGCAGGGCGGCGCTGTAGAGCACCTCCTCAGTGCGGCACTGAGCGAGGTAGCGCAGGCACAGGCAGTCCTCCCAGCCCAGGGGCCGGGCCCCGGGGGGCCCCCGC